AAATACCTAGCGAAGGATGTTCAAAGGTTGGCTAGGTTGGGTGTGAGGTTGGAAGATTCTCTAAACGGTGGATTCGTAGTCCATCATAACTCAGAGTCATCATTAGTAGTCGAGGTGAAGTCCAAACAACACCTTAATAAATCATTGATGGAGTTGAAGGAATCGGTCCTTGGAAAGATTATTGAGGCATTCTCCTTGGGGGGGGGGTTGTTTTGAGGTACCAAGGAAGATTGTGTGTTCCCAAGGTAGATGAGTTGAGGAACCGGATCCTTGAGGAAGCCCATTTATCTCGCTTCTCCATTGATCCAGGGTTTGACAAAAATGTACCATGATATTAGGGAAGTATTTTGGTGGGAAGTTTTGAAGATGAACATAGCTAAGTTTGTTGCTAAGTGTCCGAATTGACAGCACGTGAAAGCCAAATATCAAAAGTTGGGTGGCTTACAATAAGAAATCCAAGTTCCTACTTGGAAGTCGGAAGATATCAATATGGACTTTGTAGTGGGTTTACATCGGACTCAAAGTCAATATGACTCTATACGGGTGGTTGTGGACAAGTTGACCAAGTCACTCACTTTATTCCCATCAAGTCTACTTATTCAGCGGAAGATTATGCTAGGATCTTCATAGATCAGATTGTGTGTTGACATGGTATTCTGTTATCCATCATATCGGATCGGAGTGCACAATTTAGATATAGATTTTGGAGGTCATTCCAAGAAGGGTTGGGTACAAAGGTGAGGTTGAGTACAGCTTTTCATCCGAAATGGATGGTCAAGCGCGGCGTACTATTCATACCCTTGAGGATATGCTTAGGTCTTGCGTTATAGATTTCAATTGAAATTGGAATAAGCATTTGCCTTTTGGTGGAGTTTTCTTATTATAATAGTTTTCATTCATCCATCTCCATGGCTCTCTCCGAACCTTGTATGGTAAGAGGTGTAGATCTCCTATTGAATGGTTTGAAGTAGGTAAGCCCTCTTTTTTTAGTCCCGATTTGATTTATAAGACTTTGGAGAAAGTTCATATCATAAGGAACCGATTGCAAACAACCTATAGTCTTATGCCGATCATAGGAGAAAGAAATTTGGAGTTTGAAGATGGTGATAAGGTATATTTGAAAATTTCACCCATGAAAGGGGTGGTTAGATTTGGCAAGAGGGGGAAGTTGAGTACTCTTTATGTGGGTCCATATGAAATCTTGCAAAGAGTTGGTAAGGCTACCTATGAATTGAATCTTCCTAGTGAATTGGCTTCGGTTAATCCGGTTTTCCATGTTTCCATGCTTAAGAAGTGTATCGGTGATCCAAGGTCTATTCTTCCTATTGAGAGTCTTGGTGTAAAGGATAACCTCCCTTATGAGGAAGTTCCGGTTCAAATTCTTGGTAGGTAAGTCTAGAAGTTAAGGAATGAAGAGGTGGCTTCGGTAAAGGTGTTCTTGAAGAATCACCTAGTTGAGGGTGCAACACGGGAGGTCGAGGCCGACATGAAGTCCCGTTACTCTCACCTACTTGATAACTAAGGTTAGTAGTTTTTACTAGTAATGAAAATCATGACTAAAATTCAAGTTGCTTTGAGTTTGGTGAAGTATTGCAAATGTGCATTTTTGAATAGCTTTACAGTGACTTACAGTGAAGTTGTGCATTTGAAATTGAAGTTTTTCTCTTTGTCTTGTTTTCAGTTATGTCGTGCATTTTGGTATGGTGACTCTTTATTAAATAGTATTAGTTGAACTTTGACTTACATTGACTCATATATGCTATGTTGAGATCTTGTTATTATGAGAAGGATATTCCTTATAATGTAATGTTGAGCCCTATGTGTGGTAATTGAAGTTTTCAATTGCCTTGTGTAAGAGATATGGTTGATGTTATGTATTGTTGTTGGTTGGGCTTCTAGTCTTGAGTCTATTTCTTCCTTCTAAAAAATTTTAGTGTTATTCGGGGACGAATGTTCCTAAAGGGGAGGATAATGTAACACTTTAAAAATCCAAGACGTGTCTTAAAGCAAGAAATTAGTGTCATAAGGTCTAGAACCTGTTTGAAGGCCTATCATAATGAATATAGGTCATTTAGGAAGTTTACAAACCAAAACATCCAAGAACGTCCATGACGTTCGGAAAGTAATGCAAGGAGGTACTAGCGTGCCTTAGCCTATTTGACTAATTTTTAGGAGTCGAAAATTCATGAAAATTGGTGTAAACGTAACTAACATGTGTTTAAGTTGATTCATGGTTTGAACATCCGGGTACAACTCCCCAAGGACCAACCAAGGTCCCTTGAGGAGGCTCCTTGCACGTGGGAGTCAACACTGCCTGGCAGTGTGTACCCACGAGATGCAATTGATGATCCATGTGTTGATCGACAAGGCATCGTTACCAAAGAACGAACAACACTTAGAAAAATATTTGGAGCCCTCGCCTGCACAAGTCTCTAACAAGAACCACGTATGTGCAGCACGGAGGAGTGATGTCGTTTGACACTACAATATTCCACTGACTCACGATCTATCGATCGTGGTGTCGTTTGACACTACAATATTCCTGCACATTATAAGTTAAATCTAAACGACTTAATTAAGGGTTTTGGTGGTTAGTTAGAGTATTAGGGAAGCCTAATTAAGTTAATTAACCCCCCCATTAATTAGGGTATTAGGGAAGCCTAATCAAGTTAATTAACCCTCCATATAAAGACCCCAACCCCATTATTCTAATTACAACTCTCAAAACAAAACTCTCTTCCTTCTTTCTTCTTGCTCTCTCTATTAGAAGACACCATTGAAGACAAGCTAGGGGAGGGATTTGGGGGATCTAAAGGGACAATTTCACCATCAATTCTTCATCAGACGTTGAGGTATGGGATCTAATTCACCTTTGAGACCTAGTTCCTCAAAGGGTTCCTTCAAAGGATTTTCAGAAGTTGGATTTTCATGTTGGTTCTTCTCCATCTCAAATTTTGTTTCATGAATTTGTTTGTTTATGCTTTCTGTTGGATATTATGAGTAGATTAACATGAATTATATCTTTATTATGATGTATCTTCATGGTTTGGTCTAGTTTGTAAAAGATGACCCTAAACCTTTTACCCTAGGTTTGATCTTGATATGAATTAGGTCATAATTGGTTCAATTGAATTGATTATTGGTTGAATTACTTTGGGATGATTACATTAATCATGAATAAATTAGAGTAACTTTTAGTCTTTTATGCTAGTTCTTGGGAAGATGCTCTAGTTTAGGAAGTGAATTGACCTATGTATCTTTTCCTAAGTTATGATCTAGAATTGAATTGTGATGTAGTGATTCTTCTAGCCTTGTTATCATGTTGATTATTGACTTATGATGATATATACCCAAATTGGGTTGAATCGAGGGTTTATGGTAAGACCTTGATGATAACTATAAAGGAGACTAAATAAGTCTAATGATCTCTATCCTTTACTTCAAATTAGGGTTAATTGTGATTAAGTCATAATGTTGTATTATAGCATGCCTTTTATTAGGATTTATGGGGTCAGTATAATATTTAATTGAAAGGTCTTGACGTTGTTGTGAGGTTGATTAAGATGTATATGTTATAAGGATGGTGATGACTACCAATGTGTCGTATTGTGATACTGAATATGCAAATATCCTAACCTTACCTATATGAATTTTAATGAAAGGATTTATGCTAATGCAATTCTTATTGAGCTATTGATGATGATGAATATACAAGGGTAGACCCTATGACCTAAACTAAGTTATGATTGATAATAAAGGCTTAAAGACATTCAAAAAAGGGACTCTATCTTAGCATAGAGTGAACTTGAGTTAGGAGTGTCCCTTCCCACATAGGGAATGTAGGATCACTAAAGTACTCTTGACATTGGAGACTACAATGAATGTAGTATAAAGAGGGTCCCAACTATGTCTCGTAGTTCTTGAACTATGTTTCCCCCATAGGAATACTAACTAGCGGATCCCCGTAGTTGCTATGTTTCATCTTTTAGTACTACGTTGGCAAGTAGTCTGCCTTCCATCGTTGTAGGGTTTTATGAACCGGATTTCACACTAGCTCATGTGGTCTATGTCGGTTAAGGCAAGATGTACCCAGAAAGTAAAATGAACTAAAGAAATAAACTCTAACTAAGATAACCTAAGGGATCTAGCCTAGTCTAGGTTGGGGCATGGTACTCTACCTAAGCATTGCACAAGTTAGACTTGAGAGGATTCTTACGAGGATGTTCTTATGTACGATTATGCTTATAACGCTACATGACATATATACGATGAACTTGCACATTGATGATACTATATGTTGATTAGTTCATTTATGAATATGTGTTGGTTTATATTATTAAAGTAAGATGATATGTACAACTAAATGACATGTTATGTGAAGTAGGATATTAGTCATGATTCTTGTTGGGTTACTATTTTACGAAAATAGACACATAAAGTAAAAATGACAAAGTTTCAAAAAATCGACTAATCTTAAGAAAAATCGATTTTCCAAATTAACAGAGTCACCACTTGAATTTTTTAGTAAAACCAAGAAAGCTTACAATTATTTTTCAAAACATTTAAAACAAATGAAAATTAGTTGAAAAGGGTTCGAAGTTCAAATTTACACTCCAAGAAGGTGTTAGGCCTTTGCAATGCCCGCTAACTCGCGGTTGACCGACTATTTCACTAAAAAAGACTTTCACTTGAATATATAAACTTTTCCAACTAAAGTTCATTTATCATTTGCTACTTAAAATTATTTTTTTCTAATTAATTAATTTAGTGAAAAGAAGAGATTATTTTAAAAGGGAGTGACTAAAGGTGGTTGATTAGAATAAAAATAAGATAAAGGATAAGTGACTTGTATAAAAATAATTTTTTATGTTATTTTCTTTTCATTTAATTATCCTTTACATTAATTATCTCTTTCAGAGGAAAATAGCTAAGGGGATGACCTAAAGAGATGAACTTAAGGGTTAACAAAGAAGAAGTAGAATAAAAACCAAGTAAAAATATATGTATAAATAAATTTTGAGTATTTGTATATAAATATAAATAAAATGGCTATAGTTTAGAATTAATTAAATTGAAACCAAAATATTAGTCAAACATGAATAAATAAAGAGAGGGAGAGGGGATAGAAAATTTAATTTCGGCTAATCAGCCCTAATCCACAAATCTGATGGGCCCAACCTCTTCCCTATCCTATGTCTATGTGGGTCCTAGGCCATTTTTCCTTTGAACCTGCACTTAAACATTGGGCTTGTTTGCCTTAAAAAGATATGTATACAATTTGTGTATACTGCTGTATACATGGCATATCCGACCCATTTGGACCTTTCAAGGCTTGCATTTTTTGAAACGTTATCCACTGTACTTTTGACCTGAGTATTCACATTTTCTGTACCCATATAATGTATATTCTGACTGTATACCAGTGTATACAGTTGGTATAACGAATGTATTTGCCTTTTTGGTGTTGGAAAGCTTAATTTCCAGCATTTTCTTTTATTGTTCTCAACCTGTACACCATTTAGAGGGGCTGGCCGACTCGGAGAGGATAATTTGAGCATTTATGGCTCAACAAGGTAGTGCAAGAAATGGAGTAAATTCTGTGACGAATTGGAAGGGGTTTCACATGCAATAAAATAGAAATGAATTAGCCATGAATGATAAAATAAGGCACATCTTAAACACAACATAATTTATAAGTAAAAAAAACCTATTTTAAGAGATTCAAGTCAGGCCAAAATATATAACTTCAAGAAAAAATCAAAAGAATCCAACTATCACTTACAAATGTCATGAACAAAAACATGACACCACAGTAACATCCGTTATGCAATGTCTGCACTTGTGAATATATTAGGCCCCTAAGCGTACGTAGTCATTGAATAACAACCTAACTCAAGCAATGTCAAGAAAGCATGCTGCATATTTGTCTAAATAAAATGATTCATGCACAAAAGCGAAAACAACTCAATATGATGAATCTTACGGTATTAAGTTCAATCTCTCTAAGAAAAAAAAACAACACAACAAATTACCTCCATAAAGCCATCTCATTCATAAATGTCATGGAAAACAAGCACTAACACACTGATAACTACTGGATCAATAAGGGCACTTGACCTTTAATGGAAAGCGGCAAATCTTATGAAAACAGGAACATAACAATAAGCTATTCAGCCGCAGGATTCAAAGTAAGATGGGCAAAGATCTTCAGATTAAAATAAATAACAATAAAACTAGATTCCGGACCTCAAAACTAAAGAAAGATTCACAACTGACATCATAAGATTAGCGATTAAACTAAAGAATATAAGTAAGAGCAATTTGGAATTACATAGGGTCGACCAAACTTCCAACTACATGAACATAAGCAAAAATATAATACCCAAAACAGAGAAAGAAGCCACTAATTTCAACTAAGAGCAAATCAAAATTATTCCAAACTTTCGATATTTACAAATCTTGCAACCTTCATATAATTACGACCTACATCTTGAGAAGTAAATGATGGAAGAAGAAGTGTATTTACCTTTCTAAATGCAGCGATTCAGGGATAGTACGACCAGGGATGAGCTTCTTTTGACCACACGAACACATACACTAACACAAGCACGACACACAAACAAAACGATGGATGGAACCTTTACTCCAGGCGAGTTTATGTAGAGAGAATTAGAGGAAAAGTGCAAGGATAGAATTGATACTCTTTTATGCTCTCTCCAAAGGTATGTATTATATCTATTTTAAGCTATTGTTTTAGTAGGATGAAGATTAGTCTTTGGTTTTCCTTGCCTCACTCCTTGAAAAAAAAATTCTGCCCCTTTTGATGAACAGGAAGCTATGTTATATAGGAGGAGAATTAGGTTGAGACTGGGGGGAAAGGGAGACGCAAAACTCGGAATCTTCAACTAGTTTTAATTAAAAAATCTTTCACTATTTTTGCTAAACACCCTTTTCTGCAAAATTAAAAATCATTCCCAAAATAGGAAGGGGGACGGATGGCTGGGATTCATCAGCTCGTCCTTGAGTGCTACGTGGCTCTTAGCCACGAGGGAAAGGACGAGTTTGCAGAAGATTATCACAGGAAAAGCAAGCTGAAATCGTTAAAAGGCTGCCCCAAATTGTACCTCCCTAAAGAAGGAGACATTGGAAGTCACCCTCCCTTTATTTGACGTCGCGTGGCGGTGATGAATCACATGTAGGGGTTTTTTTCGTTGATCACTCGTCGCTGCATAGGAGGCGCCCTGAAGATGTCATTAACGTTGCTCTTTGGAATCGTCTGGTTTTGGATCGCTTTGAGGAGAAAAGGGAAAGTGCCGGGTCATTTTGTGAAGGGAGAAAAAGGATTGGGCCGGATGGGACTATTTTTGAAGTTGGGTTGCTGTAATGTTAGGCTGCGAATAGTATTGGGCTTGTCTGAAAAACTTAATTGAATCTTCGCCCAATATTTGTCTCAAAATTGAGTTAAGTGTTATGGCCAATACCCAAATAAAATGAATTAATATAAATTAATTAACGAGCTTCTTGATCATTACGAAATAAATTACTTAAATTTATTACAAGCTAAATAAATAAAAATTATAGACTGTTATGTAAGTAGACTAATTATCAAAACTTTAACTAAAATTAAAGTCTTTTTTTAGAAGATTTTCAAATATTCATAAAAGATACTAATTATATACATAATTATGTAAATCATATATATATATATATTATCTAAAATTATAAAAATATGATAAGGTTAATTTAAGACGACTAGAAAAACATTTTAAATTTTATAAATCTAATTATTCCAAATCGTTTAGAATTAAAAAGCTCGTTAATCAATTCCTATTAGGGAGGGTCAAAAATTGGGTGTCAACAACTGTCCATCGTTTTACTCGGATTGATGCAAGAAATTCGAGGAAAATGAAATTGACCAATCCAATTTTGACTGACCACACATTCATCTTTGTGAAAGGAATTTGGTACGGACTTTAGGAAGTATGGTTGAACCGCGGAAATGGGTTTCCTACATATCTCAGGCGATATGAGAATTCAATCCACTCGTAGTTCGATACGCTTGATATAATGCATGATTTTCAAAGAAACCAAAAGTCATACCGATACTGAATTATGAAAGGACCGAAATGCTAGAGAATTATATTTAAGAGAGAAGGTTCAAATACAGTCGAGTGTTCGACATTGAGCTCGCCTACATATCCTTACACCTTAGGAATCAGGCTGCTTGTAGTTTGAATCGATTGGTCGAAAAGGAAATATATTATGCTAGATAACATTTGGTTTTGGACAAGTGACAAATTAAGATAAGTCTGAAAAGGAGGCTTGTAACCTCTTATACATGAACGTGGCGCGCTTCACACCCCTAATTAAGAATTTTACACTGACATAATTTCCAAAATTCTTGGCCCATTGTCACTCAGATGGGAAACTTCCTTTCGACAGATCAAAATTCAGGATGCAAGACTAAGACTGACAAAACTTAAAGAAAACCCACATGTCTTCTGATAGTGGTGTGGTTTGATTGTGGTGGAAGTCGCTCCTCTGTTTGCTTCCTAAGAGTTTGGCACTCCTCTTTGGACTATGTCCCAGTTCGCTTCTAAGAAAAACTTCCACATTATGCTGCATCCCTTTTGATGTCATCCACACCTATGGTTTGTTTTTAGAGAATGCATTCTTTCGGATGCTCTTGACAAAGATTGAAATAAACTTGTGAGCTTAAAAATGCAGTTCAAATAGGAGATAGTGTGTTTTACCGCGTTGACACGTAGTTTCTCTCCGTCACATTTGACGTCAACTTCATCCGTTTGACATAAAGCTTATGTCCTGTGTCTGCAATATATTCTTCAATGTAATATTCTGTTGATTTTAAAAATAAATGAATGTTGATCAGTGTGTTGATATTTTCTTTTAAAGTCATCTCTAATTATTCTTTTGGCGTCTAATATTTCCAAATACAGATGCAGTTCATGTCGATGGGTAAATATTTCTCTAAAGATTCATGATTCCTTCTTTGTGAGTGCATGACTTCTTTTGGGGCATGAATATCTTCTCGCGATGCGTGATCTCTTGTGGGGTATGAATATCTTCTCGTGATGCATATATATAAACTCGTGGTGCATGAGTATTAACTCGCGATGCATGATCTTCTGTGATGCATGAATATTGACTCGCGATGCATGAATATTGACTCACGATGCATGATATGCCGTGATGTATGAATATCATCTCGTGATGCTAAATTTATGCGAGGCATAAATATCCTCCTGCGATGCATAAATTTCTGCGAGGCATAAATATCTTATCGCCATGCATAACTTTCTGCGAGACATGGACATCTTCTTGTGATGCATGAATGTTAATTTGTGATGCATGAGTATTAACTCGCAAAAAAAGAATATTGACTCTCGATGCATGAATATTGACTCGTGATGCATGTTCTTCCACGATGCATGAATATTAACTCGTGATGCATATTCTTCCGCAATGCATGAGTATTAACTCGCGATGCATGATCTTTTGCGATGCATGCGTATTAACTCGCGATGCATGATCTTCCGCAATACATGAATATTGACTCGTGATGCATGAATATTAACTCACAATGCATGTTCTTCCGCAATGCATGAATCTTCAGGGTGCCTTCTGGATGATCATATCTTCTCAATTGATGATAACGGTAAAATAACTTCCAGATAGTATATCGTCTTGATCGATAATAAAACAAATGAAGCCCCTGGGTAATAAATTGTCTTAATTGAAAATAAATTAAATGACTCATCCGACAATATATAATATCATATCTGACATTACAATGCAGATGACGTCCTTTACGGAAACCATAAAATCTTTCTTGAGATTTTTGCTTGATTCACCTTCAAATCTAGCTGGAAGTCCCTTATAGACTTCAAGTTATTGGAAACAGATTTAAATAAACCATCCGTATTTCTAAATTCTCGGTATAAGCAATATAAAATAATTCCTGCGTTACAGGAACACCGTTGATTTTAGGAGAGCTTTCTCCTCCCTTGACTTCTCTATATTCATCGATCGAAGGATTTTCTAGTTTCAGAACAAAGCTATAAACCTGTAGCCAGAGAAAATCGTTAGTTTTAAAACGGATTGATGTGTGTCTTTTTTTCAGTTGTCTGCTCCTTTTCTAGTTGTCTTCAATTGATTTCCTGATATCCCGACTCTTGATAGATAAGAAAAAATATTTTATGCCAAAACAAATGAAACACAAAGGGAAAACTATAAGAAAAATAAATTTTTGTGAATTACTATTTTGAACAGGGTCACTGCCAAGTGTCATGTCACGTTAGGCTTAGCGAACTTCTTTGAGTCTGATGCAAGAATAAGACCGAACCCTTGTGGCACCAAGGTACCCCATTGAGGAAGGAATAAGGTCAAACATAGTTCACTTTCAAGGTTAAAAATAGTAAGATATTACAAAGAAATTGACCAAGACCGACATGGGCCGCTTACGTATATCATTCTTGAAAATTCAGGTCGAATGTAGTTCAAATACAAATAAATATTTAAAGGGATAAAAAGGGTGACCGAAGCTAACATAGGACACCTACGTATCTCATTTTTGAGAACTCAGGTCAGACGTAGTTCATTACAAGGAGGGATTAAATTTTAAACAAAGAAAATACAAGCAAATGGAATGATTACAAGTAAATAACAGAAATGCAAACCAAAGTTTCACATGTAGTATCTTTTGACAGCAACTAAGTTCATTGGTTTCGTCCATGTGGTGTCATCCATCTCCAACATGACTAAAGCACCTCCAGATAATACTTCGCGAACAATGTAGGGTCCTTGACAATTCGGTGGGAATTTTCCTTTGTACTCGTCTTGATGAGGAAAATGCGTTTAAGTATTAATTTACCAATTTTAAAAATTCTAGCTCTTACTCTTTTGTGAAAAGCACGAATTATTCTCTGTCGATACAACTGACCATGACAAACGACAACCATTCTCTTCTCATCAATCAAAGTTAGTTGATCAATCCTCTTGCCTACCCATTCAACATTACTTAACTCAGCTTCTTAGATAATTCTGAAAGATGGTATTTTGACTTCAGCAGGTATGAATGCTTCTGTACCATATACTAGCAAGTATGGGGTAGCTCCAATCGATGTTTTGACAGTCGTTCGATAACCCAATAAAGCATATCGCAGCATCTCATGCCAACCTCGGTGATTGTCAATCATCTTTCTTAGAATCTTCTTGATATTCTTATTGGCAACCTCTACAGCTCCATTTATTTGGGTACGATAAGCGGTTGAATTTCGATGAGTGACCTTAAATTGTTCACAAATATCTCTCATCAAGTGACTGTTGAGATTTGCACCATTATCAATAATGATGGATTCTGGCACTCCAAATCTGCATATCAGATTGTTGCGAACAAAATCAGCGACAACTTTCTTGGTTACTGATTTGTAAGAAGATGCTTCCACCCACTTGGTGAAATAACCAATGGCAACAAAAATAAATCCGTGTCCATTAAAAGCGGCTGGATCTATCATACCGATGACATCCATGCCCAAGCTATAACATTAAGTTCGTGAGGCGGTACTCGGATTAAGTCACCTTGCACTTGACATTTATGGCATTTCTATATAAACTTGCAACAATCATCTTTTATAGTCATCCAAAAATAACCTGCTCGAAGGATCTTTCTTTCCAAAGTGAGCCTATTCATATGTGTGCCACAAACTCTGGCATATATCTGTTCAATAAGTTTCGCAGCTTCAACACCATCGACATATCTGCGAAGACCTAAATCTGGAGTCCTCCTACAGAGGATTTCTCTACTTAGAAATAAATGGAGAGCCATACGGCGTATGGACTTCTTTTGGTTGGATGTAGCATCTTTAGGATAAATCCTGGACTCCAAATACTTCTTTATATTGAAATACCATGGCAAACAGTCTGGTTCTGCATTAACATATAAACAATGGACTCAATGTTCTTCCAATGCTATATCCAAAGGATCAATATAATCAGTACTTAGATGTTTAATCATTGAGGCGATGGTGGAAAAAGCATCGGCCAACTCATTCTGCATTCTGGGAGTATGTATGAACTCGATCTTACGGAATCTTTTGCATAGCTTCTGTATACACTGCACATAAGGTATAATTTTTGGATTCTTCATGGCACACTCTCGTTTAACCTGAGGAATAAGCAATTTTGAGTCTCCAATAACTAATAGTTCATGCACATTCATGTCGATGGCCATTTTCAAACCAAGAATACAGGCTTCGTATTCAACAACATTGTTTGTGCAATTAAATCGGAGTTTAGCCACCATGGTATAGTGCCGACAAGATTA